TTGTCTCATTTATTTCCAGTTCCATTGACTGTGGTCAGATAATATGCATGAGATAATTTCTGTTTTCTTGCATATACTTAAGCATGACCTATGGACCAGTATGTGGTCTATTTTAGAAAATGCTCCATATACAGCTGAAAAAATGTGTATTCAGCTGTGTTTGGGTGGAACACTCTGTGTATATCCACTAAGTCCATTTGTTTCAAGCTCTGGTTCAATTCTGTTACTTCGTTGCTAATTTTTGTCCCCTTGACCTGTCTTTTTGAGATAAGGGGGTGTTAAGATTGTGGTATTGGAGATTAGATTTTTCATGTCCATCAAGATTTGTCTTATATATTTGGATGCTCCCATGCTTGGTGCACATACATTTATGAATGTTACCTCTTCCTCTTGTATTTTTCCCCTAACCAGTATATAGTGGCCTTCTTTATTTCATTGTTCATTCTTGGTTTAAAGTTGAGACTGTCTGAGAACAGTGCTACATACCTCTGCTTTTTTCTGTGGTGCTGGGGCTTGCCATATTGTTTTCCATCCTTTGACTTGGAGCCTATGAATTTCTTTATGGGTTAGGTGTGTTTCTTGTATACAGCATATAGTTGGAATTTGTTTCCTAATCCACTATGCCAGTCTATTTCTTTTAATTGGTGAATTAGGTCCATTTACATTGATGGTTGTAATTGAGATGTATTTATTTCTGATCAACATGCAATTTACCTGTTGTTGTTTACTCCTTTTTCTCCTGTATTTAATTGTTTGCCCCATTTAGTGGGTTCCTTCTGTTCTCATTCATGGAGTTTTGCTCATTTTGATCCCTCTCTAGAACATCTTTTTGTAGTCTGTGTAGGCTTGGCTTTGTCATCATGAAATTCTTTAGTTGGTCTTTGTCGTGGAATTATTTCACTTCTCCATCAAACTTGAAAGAGAGTTTTACAGGGTATAGTAATCTCAGTTGGAGTTTTTTTTCATAGAGGACTTGAAGTACTCTGCTCCGTGCTCTTCTTGCCTTCATGGTTTGTGAAGAGAAGTTTGCCATTATTCTAATGGGTTTTTTTTAATGTGACCTATTTCTTTTCTCTAGCAGTTTTCAGTGTGTTATTCTTGTGCTGGATTTCTGGAACCTTGACTATTATATGTCTTGGTGTATTTTTAATTGGGTTGATGTTACTTGGAGGTCTGTATGCTTCAGTTACCTGAATGTCAGAATGTTTCCTCATATTTGGGAAGTTTTCTGCTATTACTTCTTCCCATATTCTTTTTATAGCACTTGTATTGACTCTTTCTTTCTCATTGATGCCTATTAGTCTCATGTTGTTCATCTTTGCATCATCTTGCAGGTGATGAATTATTTTTTCCTACATCCTAGTTGTTTTTAAGAGATCATTTATTTCCTTTTCACTAGCTGCAATAGTGCCTTTAAGATCTGAAACTCTATCTTTACTTTTACTCAAATGGTTTTACAAGCTTGCGATTGAAATTTTAAGTTCCTCTACATCTCTTTGACTCTGCTACATTTGATCTGTTTCTTTCCTGTATTGCTCATTCAAAGAATCTGTCACTTTTCTAATGTCATCTATTTTTTAATCAGTGTCTTCTTGAGAAGCTGTTATTCATTTTTTTTTACTTCAGACACTATTTCTGATCTGATTTCCTCCATATGTTTCTTTATTTGATTCTTTACTTCAGATACTCTTAGTTCAGAGATTTCTTTTTTATTTCTCAGATTAATTCTGATCTGAGTTCCTCTATACCTTTCTGCTGTAGTTTCTTTTCTTCAGATGCTCCTAATTCAGACATTTCAACTGTGCTATTGTCCTCTGCACTTGTTCTAGGTGTGCTCAGGGCCTAAGATTGCATTTTGATCCTTCCCTTTGTCATAATGTATAGCACTATCCTGTGACCTTTGGTGTAGAGGTTTGGTGCATTTTTAACCTTAGCACTTAAAATTTTGATGACGATCTACTGAATTTGAGTTCATCCAGTTGTGCCTGTCTTGTGTCTGGCTACTGTGCTCAGCTCCTTCCTGTTGTATCCCTTGGAGGTGATCCTGTTGTGCCCCTCTGGCAAGATGTTCTGCTTCTGGATTGGCTGAGTGCTTTTGGCCCCTAATCTCTCTGCAGGGACTTCAGCTTCAGAGTTTCACCCTAGGCTTGTATGCCAGGCCTGGACTATGCCAGGCCTGGACTTAGTCCAGAGGGGTCCAGCTGGTACAGGGGAGCACAGAAGCTTTCACAAACTCTCACCTTGATATAAATTATGCTGATGTATGTGTGGGTATGCACAGATCACTGTTTTTTTTTCCTTTTCTTTATTAATTTTATTGAGAAAGAAGTAGCAATAAGACAATTTCAAAACAAGTTATAAGGATAGTTACAATAATTAATACATTGCATATTATTGTTTTTGTAGTACTTATTCATAGTACAAGATGCAAACATGATATCCTTTCCAAACACTATTAATTCAAAACTTTTTTCTCATTGAACTAAGAGAAAGTAGCTGTGTATCTATGTAACTGTTTTGTATGTAAAGGTTTTTTTCTCACTACAAAATGGTCCTTCATTTATATCCCCTTTTTTGTTTAGGTTTGTCAATGATGGGTATTCCACTGTCATTCATATATTGTAAGTGTCTGAATTCAGCAAAGAAATCCAATATAGTCCAGTAGTCTATAATAGTTGTAGGTTATCCATATAACTGGCAACATCAGAAGTTGTTGACTTGAGCCTTTCACAATTCAGCATATTAATATGGCTTTACATTTTATTCCTCATTTTTATACTTTTCTGCTTGATGGTTAAGACCAAGATAAAGCAAGACCTATATAAGAAACAGTGTAACTTTTGTATCTGACAAGGTCAGTCAGGTCCCCTCAGGAACAGATCACTATAACATGGTGTCTTTAACTCAGAAAGATAGCTAGAAGAGGCATAGAGGTGTCAAATGAAATTTCTAATTTTAGCTTTTTGAGGAATCTCCATACTGATTTCCATACAGATATTACTAGTTTATGATCCCACCAACAATGTAAAAGTGTTTCTTTCTCCCCAAAGCTTCACCAGTGTTTGCCACTTTTATTTCTAGATGACACTGTTCTTTCTTAAGTAAGACACAGTCTATGTGTTGGTTTCACTTGCATTTCTCTAAAGATGGCCAGAGATGGGTCAATCCTCCATCTGCAGACAACCAGTTTTCCTAGCACCACTTCCTGTGGTGAGTGTTTTGGGGTCCTTTGTCAGAAACCAGGTAGTTGAACATGGCTGGAGTTGCATCTACTTCTCCCATTCTTTTCTATTGATCTAAAAGTCTGTTTAATTGCCAGTACCAATATAACTTGTAATATAACTTGAAGTCTGGGGTTGTGAGGCCTCCTCCTTTGCTCTTGTTTCCCTGGATTACTTTTGCTCTTCTCCATCTCTTCTGGTTCCACATAAGTTGTAGGATTGCTTTCTCTTATTCTTCTAAGTATGCTATCTATATTTTGACTGGGATTGCATTAAATCTGAATATTATTTTTGTAATATGGCTTTTTTGACTTTATTGGTTCTCCCTGTCCAAGAACACGATCTAGCTGTTCATTTTATGATGTCCTCTTTTGCAGTATTATAGTTATCACTATAAAGGTCAATGGGTTAATTCCTAAGTATGTAATTTTTCATGATGGCATTATGAATAGCACTGTTTTTCTCCTTTCTTGGTAAGTTTATTATTGACATACCAGAATTTTGTGTGTTGACTTTGTATCTTGCTACACTACTGAATTTATTAATCCTAGGAGTCTATTGGTGGAACTTTTGTGTCTTCTGTGTAAAGGGTCATGTGACCTGCAAATAATAATAATTTGACCGCTTTATTCCCTATACATATCCCTTTTATTTCTTCCTCTTACATTTGATTTACTTTAATTTTGTTTTTATGTCAATTCCTCAAGGGTTTTATCTGAGTACATAATTATCTACCATTCATGAAGTACTGCAAACTAACAATTTCTTCAGCATGTGTCTCAGTGGTTCTGAGAATTTGCATTATACAGTAGGCATTGTTGCTGTGGGATGGAAGTTGACTGGTCTTCAAGCAGGCACCTACAATCCATGCCCCATTCTGCTCTGCAACAGGATTCAACTTAAAGCCTTCCCTCCATCTCCAGCTAGTGTTATGTCGAGTTGGAACCAAGCATGTTCTGACTGAGATGTCCGTCTGTTCTTATCACTTTAGTGTCCGTATGCTGGGCCCCAAAAGACTGAAGAGCATCCACTGTTTTTCCTGATATTTTGCAAATTTAAATTGTTTCAAGCTATTTTTTCTCAATGATATATGTTTTTAATTCATCCTGTTTTTCTCACTGTTAATTTTCCTTCAAAAATCAACTCAGTATAATTAAAAGTATATTGCATTTCCTTTCTGGATCTCTTCATCCCTGGCCATTCCCTTACTTGAAAAGGCTCTCCTAAGCAAGAGGAGAACTGCAGTACCCCCTTTCACCACTACCTCTCCCTTCCCATCCCCTTCCCAGAAGAGCTGATATCATATATATAT